CTCAACCTCCTGAGTAGCTGGGATTACAGGCGCGCACCACCATGCCCAGATAATTTTTTGTATTTTTAGTAGAGACGGGGTTTCACCATGTTGACCAGGATGGTCTCGATCTCTTAACCTCGTGATCCACCCGCCTCGGCCTCCCAAAGTGCTGGGATTACAGGCTTGAGCCACGACGACCGGCAAAAGTTGGCCATTTTAAAGTGCTATATGACAGATGTATTAATGTGCTGCATTCACAAAGATGGTCATGTGAGTATTCCATGAACTAATGTGTCTTTTAAAGCCTAATTTATGTTGGTTTTCCCTGTTTTGATGTTATTCACTCAATTATAATCTTACATCCAAATTCCCTGAATTTTTTTTAACTCCAAAGCCATTCTGGGACAATAAACCTCAAAGGCTGACATCAAACTATATGCTTTAGAAAAGTGTTTATGTTGGCGGGGGAGAGAAAAAAGAAAATATCAACAAATGAATTCCTATCCGGAATCCAAACTGAGAAATGCATTATTTAATTTGATCACAGCGCTAGGTTCAACTATTTAAAAATACAAGTCCGTTATACTTCTAATGCAAAAAGTACAGAAATCATAATCAAGGCACACAAGTAATTTCTAATGCATCAACACTATTTATGTCAGAACAAATCATTCTACCTTTTTCATGAAAAATAAGTGCACTTTAATAATTGTATACGCTGTCACTTAAAAAGTTCTAATAAATTAAGTCATTCAATAGCTCTTATCCTTTTTAGAGTACTGCAGCTCAATCAAGTCTTAATTGAGACTGGCAAGCATAAAGGCATAGACTGGCATCTCTACAATGACTTGCATTTTACATAAAATTCGAAAAAACTTCGGTAGATATTTGCAAAAAAAAAAAATACTAAGGAACAAAATTAATCAACTGCCTTTGATAGCAAAAGAATACTGATGAGATGAAGAGACTTAGCTGCACCTTATCGAAATAAGCAAATGTATAATCCAAAGCTTCAGCATCATCAAAACACAGATTTCAAAAGGTATTCGGAAAAGGTTAATTTCTTAAGAAATAGTGGCAAGCAACTGCACTCATTTCCTGTTCAGATTCAATTCAAATTTCAGCCATTTCCTTTTAAAGGAAATAGTACAGCAACATAGGGCAGAGGGTCGGTAATGCTACACTACCAACTCTAAAGAAGAAAGTACCCGGAACTGGGTCTTAACACTGAAGATGAGCAATCACCTTTTTATAGTACTCTTACACATTCAATAATTTGCCTTGCTTTAAAAAAAAAAAAAGTCCACCTGTAAACTAAATAATGCCAAGAAAGCCCATTTTGAAGAGGCCAAGCCTAGCAGTACAATCATTTCAAGAGTTTTAATGCATTAGGCAATACGGGACTATTTACAACGAAATCAAACCATGTTAGTGGAATCTTGACTGTGCCAGAGCATGTCACTCTGCCCTCAGCAATTAAGCTTATGTAGTGAGAGCGACCAGTATTAAAACAGAAAATACACAGGTAGCAGTGCAAATGCGACATTTCCAGGTAATTAAGCCTCCCCGAGGGTAGGTGGTTTCTGTAAGGGGTAGGCCCTTAACGCCCAAGATCCTTCAACTCCCTCTCCGAGACGCGTGCTTTGGCAAAAGCAGCGTCTCCTAAACGGAAAGGGTCAAGGAAGAAGATTCCAAAAGAAGGAAAATCTAGAGAGAGGGAGTGCGTACGGAGCTCTGGGCTTGGGGCCGACAGAGGTTACCAAGCGACCCACTGCAAAGGCGAGTCTGTGGGGCCTGCTGGAGAGAAGGCCTCGCCTAGGAGTTGCAACACACTCTTTCTCCAGTGCGCAGCGCTCGGCCTGGGGGAGGGGGAGGAGGGGAAACAGCTGCCAGGGGAGCGGCGGGCCCAGCCCGGCCCGGCCCGCTCACCGTCAGGGTGTCGTCTATGTAGAGGGGGATCTGCCTCCTCTCGAAGGGGAACTCCTCCTCCCCGTCCCTGCACACTGCCACCAGTCGCGCCATCCTCCCCGACGCTGCCGTTGCCACCGTCACCACCTCCTCCCAGCTGCTGCTGCTGCCGCCGCCGCCGCTGCCGCCGCCGCCGCCGCCGCCGCTCCTGCTACCGCCGCTGCTGCCGCCTCCTCCCAGCTCCTGCCTGCAACAGCCAAACCCCGCGAGCGTAAGCACCGGCCGCCGCGCAGCACATTCGCCACGGGGGGCAGGGAGCGGAGCGGGAGGGGACGGGAGAGCCGGGCTGCGTTTCCCATCACCCGATTCCACACGTGCTCAGCCAATGAGCGCCCAGCGACGCCGGGACCCGCCCCCTCGCGCCGCGCTCCCTACCTCCCTCCCGCCCGGCCCCCGCCCGCCCGCTGGCCTCCCGTCAGGGTCCAAAGGAGAGGCGGAAGGGACCGTCCGGCCCGGGGGCTTCCCCGCCCGCCGCGGAAGTCCCGGCCCCAGGACCCCAACCCTGGCCTAAGCCCCACAGCCTGATCCCCGCCACCCGCCGCCCGGGTGCCCTCCTCCCTCAGCTGACCCCTTCTCCGGGTTTCTAGGCGCACCCCGCCCAGTCGGCCCCTGGACTGCAGTTGCCCAGCGCGACCCCGCCCCTGGGAGGGGTCGACCCCGTCACGGCTCTGCGGAGCCCAGGGAAGAGGGAGGCTCAGACCCTTTCCTCACCCTTCTCGGAGGAGGCTGTCGGTTCCGACCTTCACCGTTTTCGTGGTCGCCTCCCTGACCCCCACCTCTGCTCCCCGTTACCAGCTGACGAGGCCCGCGTCAGGGCCGGCCTGGGCGGGAGCGCGGCTCCGAATGCCGTTTCCTCTCCGGGCAGTCAGCCGCTCGCGCCGCGGGGAGTGGGGGAGGGAGGGCGGGGGACGAGGGGAAGGTGGGGCCGGGCGGGGCCCGGCACCGGGCGGGGCCAGTGTCATCTCGCGAGACTGGGGCCTGCCGCGCTGGGGTCTCCGCTGTAGAAATCTGCGCCCCAAGGATGGGGGGCCGCCCTGGCAGTCCCTCCGTCAGGACCGGCGCAGCCCTCCGAGTTCAGCCATTCTGCTAGACCCGAACTAGGACTGGTAGGGGGGATGATCGCCCAACCTCAGGCCCTCGCCGGCGGGCTCGGAAGGCTTCCCCAGGGCGGAGGGGCGCAGCGAAGCGAGCTCGCCTGACTCCGGGCCGACTCCGGGCGGTGAACCTGGGTAGGTGGCGAGGATCCCAGGTCAGAGGGGACGGAAGGCAGTTAAGGAAAGGAAGACGAGCATCGTGGGGAGAGAGACAAACTCTGGCCTTGGTCTCTTGGCCCTTGACGCCACTGAATTCGCGTTTCGTAGCGGGAGGGGGAGGAAAGGGCCCTGACACCCCGGCTCGTCAGGGCCCCGCCGCTTAGCTGCATCCCTATCCCGCCTAGGGGACCGCAGTAGTGAAGTGCTGACAGCTTGTGGTTGTCTTTACACTGGAGGGAAATAGAAAACTGGACAGTGGTGTGTGTGTGCGTCTTGGCCAAAGGAACTTCCTGGGCTGAGTTAAAGTGAGCAGTTACTCCTTTGGACGAAGTACTGGCACTGGCCGAAGGCCTTTCCCTCCTGCCATCTCCGAGGAAACAGAACTGCTGTGAAGACAGTTCCTCTCGCCGCCGGGTGCTCAGTTCTGGCCTTGAAGGTTTTGGAGGTCTGTTGTGAAACCAAAAGAGTTGGAAGATATCACCGGGCGCGGTGGCTCAAGCCTGTAATCCCAGCAATTTGGGAGGCCGAGGCGGGCGGATCACAAGGTCAAGAGATCTAGACCGTCCTGACCAACATGGTGAAACAGCATCTCTAGTAAAAATACAAAATTAATTGGGCATGGTAGCGCGCACCTGTAGTCCCAGCTACTAGGGAGGCTGAGGCAGGAGTATCTTGAACCCGGGAGGGAGGTTGCAGTGAGCTGAGGTCACGCCACTGCATTCCAGCCTGGCGACAGAACAAGACTCTCCCCCCCACCCTGGACAAAAAAAAAAAAAAAAAGAGTTGAAAAGATATTTAGCCTGTGAAAGTCCTGGCGATCTGAAGGATAGAACCATTTGCTGTTGTATTTCCTGGTAGAATAGGCTGGAGCTGTGATACCTTTAAAAAGTATTTTGGTCATCACATGGAGTCGTAGAGATTAAGAGCAAAAACCCCTTAGCCATGTTGACTTAGGACATTGTGTGGTCATTGTTAGGGTGAGTGACATAATAAACGAAGAACCATTGTTCATTCCCAAAGGTGTGATTCCCTGGTACATATTTGTGTCTTCTGGCCATGTTAGCAGAGTAGAAGAGTGTGATTATTAGCTTGAATCTAGAGAATCTCCCATTTTATGTTGTTGTTTTTTTTCTTTTTTTTTAAAAGCTGGGTGCGGTGGCTCACGCCTGGAATCCCAGCACTTTGGGAGGCCAAGGCAGGCGGATCACCTGAGGTAGGGAATTCGAGACCAGCCAGACCAACATAGAGAAACCCCTTCAACTACTAAAAATACAAAAATTAACCGGAAGTGATGACGCATGCCTGTAATCCCAGCTACTCGGGATTCTCGGCCAAGGCAGGAGAATTGCTTGAGCCTGGGAGAGGGGGGTTGCAGTGAGCTGAGGTCACACCACTGCACTCCACCTTGGGCAACAAAAGGGAAACTCCACCTCAAAAAACAAAAACAACAACAATACAGGCTGGGTGCATTGGCTCACACCTGTAATCCCAAGACTGGGAGACAAGGTGGACAGATCACTTGAGGTCAGGAGTTCGAGACCTGCCTGGGCAACATGGAGAAACCCTGTCTCTACTAAAAATACAAAAATTAGCCGGTTGGGGTGATGCATACCTGTAATCCCAGCTACTCGGGAGGCTGAGGCAGGAGAATTGCTTCAACCCAGAAGGCAGAGGTTGTGGTGAGCCAAGATCGCCCCACTGCACTCCAGCCTGGATGACAGTGTGAGACTCTATCTCAAATAAAATTGTATACACACACACACACACACACACACACACACACACACACACACACTGGCTTTCAATATCTAGAGGTGCTCCTATATTGGCTACATCAATTAATGTACCCACATTTTTTTTTTTTGACGCATAGTTTAGCTCTTGTTGCCCAGACTGGAGTGCAATGGCCTTATCTCCGTTCACTGCAACTTCCCCCTCCCAGGATCAAGCGATTCCCCTGCCTCAGCCTCCCAAGAAGGTGGGATTACAGGCATGCACCACCATGCCTAGTTAATTTTGTATTTTTGGTAGAGATGGGGTTTCTCCATGTTGGTCAAGCTGGTCTCAAACTCCTGACCTCATGACCCTCCAGCCTCAGCCTCCCAAAGTGCTGGGATTACAGGTGCAAGCCACCATGCCCAGCCTTAATGTACCTACTTTAAACCTTTTAAACTTCACTAGGATTCTGGTTGGCAAAGACTCATTATATTCTAATTACTTTGATTACTGATCACACACCAGGTACTAAAGAGTATTCAGCCTGGGGATTTAAATCTCTGAAAAGATATTAAAACACATATGTAAAACATAATAAAATGAGATCACAACAATCTTTTTCCATCTGAGCTTACCTTCCCTAATTTTGGCTTGTCTGTTAGGTCGACTGAACACAGTATCTTTGGACACTGTTTCACATACTATAGGAATTCAATGAAAACGTATT